TTAATATTACTCCCTGGTTTTGAACTTGAAAAAAATGTAAAAGCATTTTAATTGCAAGGTTTTACAAGATTGTATGTGTAAGAAATGCTAAGAGCAGATATGTGTCTGCACTGGTGGCAGAGTTAGGCAGTGCCTGCAGGGGCCACCGTTTGAGTGTAGACAAGGAGCATTAAAAGGCTGATGCTACAGTTTAAATTAAAGGCCCACATCAGTATGTCACACCCCATGTTCCTGTATTGACCCCACTCCCTAGTGGAGTCTTTGGTATACATGAATTATGTGACCAGTCTGGAAGAGGCAGGGGACTTTTTTGGCTCTCCAAGGTCATGCAGGTGTATCAGGCTACCAAGGCCTGGCCTTCACCCCCAGGCACCTTGCAGTCTCTGTGCTGACCAACATCAATGAAAGCCTTGTTGGTAGAGTCTGGAACTGCAACATTAACTGAGACAGTATCTGGCCACTACAGTCCCACTTCACCTAAGAGTTGCAGACCCTTATCCATCTTCCACATTTTCCACAAGTTGACAGCACAAAGATCCACCCTTTTATCCGAGTGTGGACAGCAGTGCTGGCTGACCTGTCTCCTTTTGTTCAGATGATTCCTAGAATGTTTGCACATTGCAGTGGCTGCACAAGCATAGTCCTCCACAGGACAGCAAAGACCAGCACTAGGAGGAGCGGGCAGTACCTGGTCAAAGCAGCAGGAGTAAAAGGACAGGTTCTTGGAAGGAGCCGGCACAGAGGGTGGTGATAGACACAAGAGGAACTTGGGGATGCACAGAAGGTGTTTCAGAACAGGGATGCTTCAGCCAGGGGAGTGCCAGATGAGTCACTAAAAAAAAGTTTGTGACAACCTGCAACTTTCAGCTGAGACAAGGTGAAGCTAAGGGATGTTTTTCCTGCAGTAATCATGCCCATCCCCAGCATTACTCAGGTATAGCCATGGGACAGCCACTGTTTCCTCCTTCCTTCCTTTGGTTTGTCAGCAGTGTAGGTGTTAGAAGAATAAGTAAAGCTCACATCAGGGATATGGGGATGGGTGGATGTCTTACGATTGCTGTTAACCATTTGTTTGCTCTGCAGCCTATGGCTGAGGAGCTAGCATTGCTAGCAAGATGCTACAGCTTGTACAGCTGTGTCCCTACTGCTAAATAAGAGGATGAGGATGCAAGCTTGGCCTAGTGCTCACCCATACTGCTGAAGTGGGCCTAAGCACTGTCCCAGGCGCAATTCAAGGAACTGCCCAGGCCAGGCACCAATCCAAGAAGACAACATGGACAAGTCTAAAGCAGGTTTCACTCCCCATGCAGAGATGCCCTGTGGTGCAGATGTGGCCAGTTAGGGTACCAGTTCATGGGCCAAGGCACTAGTTCCTGGCCCTCTTACTTACCAATACAGAAACAGCCCATGCAACTCTTACTGGTCTTCTAGCTCGCTTGCTTTCACTGAACTGAGCAAAAAGCTCTCACCGAGAGAACTATGTTCACCCCTAACAAACACAAATGTTACCTGGAAGTTTTGAATTGACATGCTAGAACATTCAAAAGGTATCTCATCATCTCCAAACAGCCAAACTAAGAAATGCCCTCAATACCAGTGCAAGGCTCATAAGCTGAAAGTAGGAGGGTTAAAACTAGGGGATAAAAAAAAAAGGGGGGGGGATTAATATTTCCCAGTTGCTTTCCATATTTAACTGAGGTAAGCATTATGCAGAATCACTGAATGCTAAAGAGCTGGCTATCATTTTCTGACAAGGTATCAGGAGTGCACATCTTTGACACACTTAGGTGACAACAGCTGTCTGCTATCAAATTATTTTTAAATTAAGTGAATTTTCTTTTACAAAATATATACCCAGCATCAAAATAAAGCAGAACATATCCCTAGAAGAATGTTGCACAATAAGCTAGTTTCTCTGAATTCACAAAGCATTAAGACTTCTGCACAGCCTTCCTAGCATTCACTCTTCCCACCAGAACACTCAGCCTCCTGCCCTATTTCCTCCCTTCTCTTTTGTTACAGCACAATAAACTCCATTTTATACATTTTACATCTGCAGTCAATCATAACTCATGCACTTAATCTTGCACAAAAGAAAAAGTTGAGCTTTCTTCGAAACAAAAAGAATCAAAGCCTGCAGAAGACTCCAGAAATCAATTAAATGCTGTGATCATTAGACCTCTATCAACTATTTTGTGTATGTACATGGTTGTATTGAAGTTCTGAAATGTAAGTACTCAAACTCTCCATTCAAAGAACAGAGCTACCACCTTAATGATACACAATTATCTGGCTTTATTTGGTACAAAAAAAGATGCTGCAAAATAAAAAAAGATCTTCCTTTCCAAGACTGTAAATGAAAGTATTTGTAAAAAATAGAAATTCATCTTTCCACCTCCATCTAACCGATTGCCATATGAAATTGTCTTATTCCTGTAGTATGTACATTACTAGATATAACAGTATTTTAGTCTGAAAAGATCTGAAATTGCAGCATGTTATTTTTAACCTTTCTCTGTACCTCAAATTGAAGCAGTCTCAGCAGCTGTCACCTTCTTTTGGCTCTTATATCATTGATACGGAAGAAGGATCTACTACCTACTACTAAGGATCTACTATCTACTGTATCAGGTAGTACAACTACCTGAAAGGGGGTTGTGGCGACGAGGGTGTTGGCCTCTTCTCCCAAGTAACTAGTGATAGGACAAGAGGAAATGGCTTCAAGTTGCGCCAGGGGAGGTTTAGATTGGATATTAGGAAAAATTTCTTCACTGAGAGGGTGGTCAAGCATTGGAACAGGCTGCCCAGGGAGGTGGTGGAGTCGCCATCTCTGGAAGTGTTCAAGAAACGTGTGGATGTGGCGCTTCAGGACATGGTTTAGGGGACATGGTGGCGCTGGATTAATGGTTGGACTTGATGATCTTGAAGGTCCTTTCCAACCTAGTGTTTCTGTGATACTTCAAGCGACCACTTTTCCATCAGCCCTTAGGACTAGAAAGGTTAAAGTCATGTGGTAAAGTCCACACATAGGGGATCAGCACAGCTGCCCCTCATACCTGTCCTCTGATACAGAAGGGAGGGGAGAGTAGAAATAAACACTTGTTTGATGACCAGCCACGTTTTTTTTTATGTGCCATCTGCTCTTGCATCACTGCTGTGTTTATGTAACATGAAGGAAGAGGCAGCTCCAGAACCCCAGGTGGAAGCCAAGGATTTTAGGGAATGTATCATGAAACACGTTATTAATGCTTACATTGTCATAATAAACCATAATGATTAAAACTTAGAAGTGGAAAGGGAGGTGTTACAAAATGCAGCCCACTGCTGAAGGGCTTCTGCAGACCCCCAGCAGCCCACTCCTTTTACCTGGAGGTGATGCCAGCTCGAACACTAATCCCAATGGTTGCAGCAAAGCACTTACTACCTGCACAAGGAGTGCTAACCCAGGCTGCACTTGTGTTAAACTTCAGCCTGGACTTTCAGAAAACTGTATTTAAATATCTATATTGTGCCTCACATTATGAGGCACAATACTTTTTACATTTGAACAACTGTATGTGTATTTTAACAGTTGTATATCTGAGATAAAACCATCCTGAATAATTGTGTTGATTCTAGTTAAGACATTCAGATATTCTTTTAGTCACTGAAAGATTTCTAATAATACAAATTTTTTTCCACACTAAATATATTTCTAGAAATAGATTTGTGAAGTGCTAATTATACCACTTAATAGCCTCTATTTCAGAATCAAGTGGCACTTGAGAATTTCTAAAACAATCCATTTTGGATTTGGGAATAGATGAGGTAACATCAAGTAGTAACAAAAGCCCCTAAAATAAGTGATTTTTGCTGTAAATTTTCTAGCATAACGTTGGACCTGATTGCTTTTGTATTCATTTTGGCTTAATTATACACTAAGTTTTGTGATGTGGGACTGGAGTATCAAACAAGGATAAATAACAAGATTTTCCTGATTTCAGGTGGGATAATTTTCTTCATACACCAAACATAGTCTCATACTAGCTTTTATGAAGAAAATTAACTATCCCAGCTGAAACCAGGACAAAGACCCAGGACTCAAAATCTCTGTTGCTCAGAAGATTTCTATGTAACAGCTTCAGTTGAATTTTAAATACTTCCCTGCAAGATTTTTGTTAGTCCCTTACAGCATCAGGTGGCTGGATACAAAAGGTATACTGACCTGCCTACATACATAGTGAGATACTTCCAAGAAAGTCCTTTCCCACGTTCAACCAGTGAAAATCTCCTGAGGCTTTATATCCATGCACCAACAATCCTTCCACTACTATCAAAAGATACCCTTTCAAAGAGCAGTGGGCCAGGCTTGATAGGCACCTGACACTGGCAAAGACACCAAAATTTATTTTGGGGCAAGTCACTCCCAAGACAGACATCTTTGCTCACTATTTAACTGGATTTCCTTTAAATCTTCCTTGGCAGATTAATGGGACAAAACAAGGTCAAAAAGAGAAAAGGTGGCAAGGTCTAAGTGTAAGATGATCCTCTGTTCCAATTCTGCAAAAAATGTAAGAACATTTATGTCTTCAGAATACAGTTATATTTGAACAGTGTGTAACACCAACGAGAACATTCATCAATCACTGTATGATTAAAGCTAGCTTAGATGGATTTTAAATTGACCAGACATTAAAACTTACTAAGACCCACCTGATCAGCCATGAATTCTGAGAGATTAAGTTTGGCAGAACTTAAATATTGGGACTCAACGCACAGCTGAATATGAAGGGCAGAGTTATAAACGCCTATATAATTTGCTGATGCAACCATGCACAGTGGTCCATTTCTTTCATCTTTAGACTTTATGAAGTTAGTCAAGACCTTGTCTTAACTAGCAGCGTAGCCGATACCAGTCCACAACGCGTAAGGGAGAGAAGTTCCTGTGGCTTGTTCCATTAATCCTATTTGAAGGCTTGAGCTTCGACCTTGATCATTTTTCTTGCTTGTTCAAATTTCTCTCAGGATGAGCAGCTTACTTTAAGATCCTTGGCCCAAGCTGGGGGGCGCAGGGAGTAGCCTGCTTTCTCTGCAGCCTGCTGTCTCTGAAAAGGATGCTCTAAAATCTGCTGTAGGAGACGAACCTGGAAGCAGTTAAAAAGGGTAAGTTTTTATACAAAATGTTTTCCTGCAAAGCAGGAAAGTTTCTGCCACTTCATATTATGCACACTCCTGGCTCTAGAAACTATTACACACGTTGCTTACTATTATTAGTACCACTATTAATATCTTTGCTACTATTTATGTTATAATTAATATTATTAATAATTTTGATAATATTTTAATAGTAATTAGTATTAGATAGTACAGTGTTGGCCAAAATGTAGTATAGGTTCAAAGTGTCTCATTAACAATTATGCCAATTATTAATAAACACGTCAAGAAAGAAAGAAATAATTTTACCTCTGAGAAGTCATTCAAATTAGCTTTTCGCACTGCTGATTCTGCCATCCAATTCCTAAGTATGTATCTAGGATTCACAGCTGAAACCAAAAGTAAATAATTTTTAAATTTAGTTAGACATATTCAACGGAAGGAAAACACAGTCATTGAAATATGTCATCGAAATCCGCAAGAAGGTTTAATTTGCAGATCAAGGAAAAAAAATGCATAAAAAAAGGAATGAATCAATCTATTTTTATGAGCTGCTAAAAGGATTTTTTTTAAACTTGCACAATCAGTAACGCCAAAGTGCCAAACAAAAATTAAGAGTAGTATAGAACATCACATTGATACACACAGGATGTCCTGTTATGAACACCAGCAGACTTTTCAAATGTGGTGAGTTTATCATGGTTCCTGCTACATTGTTGGAAAGTGTATTTGAATGTTGTCAATACCTTCCTGGGGATCATAAAAATGAACATTATATTACTTAATTTAAAAAGGAATTATTAAGATATTCATTAAAGTATGTACTTAGATATTCCTTCTTCTATACCATATATCAAAAGTTTAACCATAAAAGCCTTTAATGTTGCATTTCAGCTGTATTTTTTGGAAACTACTTTTTCAACTTTCCTTTTCATTTCTTGATGGGGGCTGGGGGAGGTTCCCCAGTTTTTTCGACAACCGTCTGCTGTATCTCTTCTCTGGCGTGTTCCAGGTTAATTGTGTCTAATTAGTGGTAGGGAGATTGTAGGGACATTGAAAATGAAACTGCTGAATTAGGTTGTATAACCTGTATCAGAATTAGGTTGTATAACCTAATACTGATACAGGCTGTATCTTACAGGACGGCCACCAAGAACTCATAAAAGGAGTTCTGTCAAACTGTACGCCAAAGACAATTCTCATAAGCACATGTGGCTTTTATTATCAATTTTTTAGCAAATAATGTCAACACAACTCTTACTTGTGCTCAGCAATTAAAGTCCAGGATTCTACTTCAGAAAGTCTTCCCTTTAATTAATTATCAAAACAATATTACAGATTAATTGTAACAAACATTTCAAGACTGCATGGTAAGTCTTAATTTGACATTGGTCTGCATATTTTCCCAAATTCAGTAGCTGACTATTACATGAAGAGATGAATTAGCGATACCCGAGGCATTTCACCCATGGACTTGAAACCAAAAGCCTGTAATTTATGGATCTACACAAATTTAATCTCTTCCTTCCCTTTCCATTGATGTCCCACTAGGTTTTATATGAATAAAACATCAGTTTTATATAATATATTTCTTTGCAAAGATCCATGTAGTTTTATAAAATATTCTTATAAATACCCTTATGGCATATTTGAAAGAGGGTATTGAAGAAAGCAGAGTATTCATCAAAATCACCATCCGCGATGTCCCTCTACCCAATTCCTCTAATCAATTAGTTATGATGTTATTTTATTTACAAATAACAAATTTTATTAGGAGGGGGATGACCAGAAGCAATATTTTGGATAAATGGATCAAACAATTTATTTCTATGTCCCAATTCACTCCATTCTTGCATCTCTCTACTGCTGCTTCGTCTTGCAAACGTAACTTGTTTATCCTAGCTGACTACCAAGACAACTGATGTTGTTGAGAAAAGTTATGACTGGCTCCTCCTAAGGTTCTGTGGTTAGACAATCGCAAGACTTTATTCATATTTAATAGCTCTCCATACAGAATTAGTGCTTAGTGCAGTGAACAGACTTCTCTGTAATAAGCACTGCTTCTAAAAAGCAGCATTTAACTACCTAACAAACGAGAATTTACTGAAGCTATGTAATCAATGAAACAGCACTTGCATGATTATTTTATGTATCACAATACAATTAAAGTCTTTGTGTTTGGAAGTGAATGATAGCCATTTTAAGCCACAAGATTTGACATACAGTAGCATTACACAAAGGGTCTTAATGTTGCTTAGAAAAGGAAAAAAAAAAATCATGCAATGCTCTAAGGGCTGAGCTCTGACCACTCATGTTCCTGCCAGATGAAAGAAGGTGAAGCTCTCCTACAAAATCAGAACATGGGCTGAAACCAGAAGCATCTCAGGTGGCACTGCCACTCCCTTCTTTATAAAAGCAGCCCAGGTAATAGAACGACTTTCCAGCACAATGTCCTGGTGCTGACTTCCATGAGAATGACGACTAAGGTGCAATCCATCCAGATACAGGCATTTTTCTTTTTCATGTTACTGCTGCTCTGTATGTACTTACATATATTAAACAAAAGTGAATAAATATGACTGGCTATTTGGAACCCTGATAACCTCTACACAGTCATAACAACACCCTGCCCTAACTGCTAAAAAAATAGCGCTTTTCCACTTGGCAAAGTAATTTACTCTGGCCAAGTATTTGATTTAATTCTGTATATGGGTTTTCAGTAGTCAAGTGTGGTAACAATATTAAAATAATATTTAAAAGGTGGAGAAGTTAACATATGACTCATATAAAAATGATAATTCACATTAAAACCATGACTCATATTAGCAGGAGAATATTTGTCCCAGAAATATATTCTTAACAATTGCAAATTGATAAGTTTCACAGTGGCATTTAAAATACCTGTAATTAACACAAGTGACAAGATACTTATGAGAGAATAAGAAAGCCAAATAAGAAAAGGACAAAGCAGAAGAAATTTTGTGCCCTTATGAGCATTTTATGATCTGGTCTACAATTTTTTTAATATGTTTCTTTTATAAAGAAATTATAGACTTGTATGGGTATTTGGATTGTCAAAACTTTTTGATCAACTCCTAAGGAACTATGGTTAGACAGTACAAGATAAAGTGCTAGTCAGGACTAAAAACTAAATGAGAGGAAAAAAAGTAAAGATAATGAATAAGTGATCAACCCGAAATGCTTCAAGGTAATGTACTTTGGAACATGAGATATTTTACCAGACTTACTAATGATGAGGGAAAACTGATGAATAACGAGGTGATAATGGCAATATATTCAAGGTCAGTCAATTGTCTAAAGACAGCAATAAGAAATTTAGTGGGACTTACCAACACATATAAAAATCTAGAGAGCCCTGATAGTTTTGTCTTTAACATGAAATGCTGTGTAAAAATGCACAGTTGACTGAGTCGAGCCAGATTTGTGCTGCAATTTGTACTGACAAGGGACAGCTGTTACAAGAAAATACTTTAAAAAAAGCAATTTTAGGAGAGAGAATCATAGACTAGTTCGGCTTGGAAGGGACCTTTAAAGGTCACCTAGTGCAACACCCCTGCAATGAGCAGGGACATCTTCAACTAGATCACAAGGGGCATCTACGAGAGATATTTAAATGTAAAAGAGAACAACAACAACAAAAAATTGTAAGAAACCTCAGTCATACCGTAATATGGAGAGGCTAGCAAAAATGTAACAAAGTTTGTTTATTTTAAAAGGAAAGTAAGATTTTAAATAAATCAGTAACAAATTAACATCAGTAGTCTGTTAGGAATATCTGCTAGCTCTGCTGTATGAATGACTGGTTATATGGAAGAAAACTAACTTAACGATGAATCTTTGCATAGCAAGTTTCGGACTGCTACCAAAACTGAGACCACTAGCACAAGTGTAGTCCTGGAAGCAAAACCTTTTCCCTGTTTTGTCTGTCTCCTGTACTTACATGATCCTCTGAGATACGTGTACAAAACCACAATGCTGGTTTGTAGAAGATCATCCCCAAAATGAGATACTTTCTGATCTGGAGTAAAAACTCAGAATGTCATAATCTCCTCTAAAAGCAGGTTCCAAAAACAGAATAATAAGAAGTGTGTTGAGACAGTTTTCAGTGTTAATTTTCAGCTGAGGAAAACCGGGGAGCTCAAAACCTCAAAACGGTAGTTGAGCTAAGAGCCTCAGAGTCCCACAGTTGAAACTTCTTAACCCTACCAAAATACAAATAATAAACCAAACCTTTCTTCTTGTAACTGTTTTCATATTAACTTTCTAAAAACACATGTGAAATTGGAAGAAGTGTTCTTAGAAATCAGTGGAGCTTTGGTTAGAAAATGTGGATGCAAACATGAAGGTCCATGTGATGACAATTTGTGCCCTATGCAGTTTTTACTATCTTACTACTGAAACTCTGCCATCTCCTACCATTTTCCTATTAAATCAATTAAAGCTTTTGAGGAAAGTGGCCAGTCAATATCTAACAAAAGAGTACAGCCATTTCTGTTAGAAATGAGAATAAAATACCCTGCAAAGCAGCATAATACTAAAGCATGTTATACCTCATGCAGAATTTGATCAGATCCTCCCATTTCCTTCACTCCCTTTTGTCCAGAGATTTTCAGTTGCTCATTGTCTTTCATAGGCAAATTTCACAAATCTACCACAGCTCACTGCAGATCCAAAAACATTTCTGTCTGAATAATTCTTAGAATTTCTTATCCACTATTTCTGCTGTGAGAAACAGGTAAATGCAATACCTCTACCATTTTGTAACTTGGAGAATTAAAGTACCGTCCTTTCATGACTAGATAGTCCTTTGACAAGTAAGGAGCTTTTTCTCCAGATGCAGAAAAAAAACAGTGGGTGCCTTTCAGAAACCTGAATTCTTTATAACATGTAGAAAGGATTTGGACATATTTGAACACTCAAACCAACCTTAGTCCATTGTGCCAGTACAGGATGCCCACCAGAATCTTTCTTGATGTTATCCAAGGTGCATCACCAGAGAAGAACAATGTTCTTCTGAGCAATGCAAACTGACACATTCACAGACTGCTAAAGGAAGGAAGTACAGATCAAGGAAAAGATGTTGCTTGCCCTCAGGAAAAGCAGATATAGCAGAAGAGGAAGGGCATCTCTCACAAGGAAATCAAATCCTAGGGGGCCTTTCCGGGAGCACCCTGCTTTGCAATGAAGAGTTACAAATTGGGGAGCAGCCAGAGCACGTCCACCATTTCAAGACACTAAGGTGAAGTCCCACTTAAGACAGGACAAGATACAGACAACCATGTTCCCATGGGCCAGTAATTCTTAAGTTCTTAAAGGAAATCAAAAGGAAAAAAAATTAATCAAGTGCACAAGCACCAAAGCATAGAACAAGCTGGAAGCCTGACATCTCCTGAGCCCTCAAAATGGAAATTGTAAAGAAGGGGTTAAAAAAAAAAGAGAAAAAAAGAAATTAAAAAAGGTAAACAACAAATAAGGGAAAGAAAAATAAACAAATAGGTAAATGAGGATTGATATGGAATAGACCATAGCTGGACAGCTGAGTTGGCTTGCTTCAGTGTCTATATTCACATATGCTGTGACACAGGTCAGAGCAGCCCTTGTGGGTACTGGTAGGAAAAGCCTTCTTCATGAGGTTTTCAACACTTGTGATTTCAATCACCCAAAATATGAACGAACATGTGCTCTGTTCTTCAAAACCAGCAGAATCTAGAGAAAAGCAACTTGGACTAGTAGTTGTGGTGCATTTCTGTGGTTTCACTCTCTTAGGCCTCAGTCAACTGGTACAACTACGACTGTATTCACAACAGAAGGTGTTTGGGCCAGACCAACTTCTTCATAAACACAGACAATTAAGGATTTTTTTTAATTTCTTTTTTTTAAGGAGGAAAAAGAGAGGATCCGTAGGGAGGAGAAGCATCTCACTGTAGCCAAGGAACATCTTGATCATTTAGCTTATGTAAAAAATATATATATGTTCACAAGTCGAGCTACACACACGTGGCTAGATTCTAATCAGACGATTGGGTGAGACCAGAGATAGCACAGTGAATGTAGAGTATTACAAGATTTGCAGCAGCATAATGAGAGTTTCTTCTCATCAGAAAAACAGTACATTTTAGTTCTCGTCAAAGGGAAAAAAAACTAACACTGAAGAAACCTATGTAAATAGATAGCTGCCATCTTCAAGCATATGAATTCCTTTGGATCATTTTACTCACTTGTCATTCTTGTTCTTCTCTTGGTGTCTGAATCACCCTTGTTACTATACATGAAAAACAAACCAAAAGAAGAAAAAAGAAAGTGCTAATAGGGTTATGCTTATTTATTTTTAGAAATACTGTATTTAACTTTCATTAAAATCATTAAGTGTTCTGCTTTTGTGTTCATTGGAAGCAGGTATGAACCTCTAAGAGTGATCAGACTTGCAAAAAACCTGCACATTTTCATATAGGTTTTGTATCTTGTATTGATTTTTTTCCCCTAAGAATTGTTATTTACTGACTAAAATTTCTAAGTACCTGATAGGTACTACTTTTCACTACTGTCAGCCATGCATACCATATATCACTATGAAAAACACATTACAAGACAAAAGAATTGGTAGGAAGTTCTAACATGCATGTTAGAAAAGAACAGTGGTTTCCGAACAGTCTGTGTATTCACAACTGTTACACTTCCAACCCCTGTCATCCTAAAGCCATATTATTATGTAGTGAAAAATACATATATTACCAGTAACGAAATGCTATTCACTCATATGTATTTGCAAAGCCTGACTTTCAGATTCTTGGACTGAATCTGTAGGACTGGTATTTTAACAAAAATTATTAACCAAAGAAATCTGATCGGTTGCTCAGTGAAAGACATCAAATACAGACCACTCCTACCCTGTCATTTTTATGTACCTGTGTGTTAAAACACAACTATGGTAGTAATTATTATGGAATCTAACACAATCTAGAACCATAAAGACAAAAAAGGCATATGAAACCATGTTTGGGCCAGTTTGTCAGACCCGCTAAAGATTATGGAAAATCATTGCAGATTAAAGTTGCCTGCTTCTGGCAAATACACACTTGGTGTTATTTTTACAATTGAAACTGCATCAGACTTACCGATTCAATCTCAAAAGGTACATTGTAACCCATTCTGAAAATAACTTGTGTTTACTCAGATCCTGGAGAGCCCAGAACTCCTAAAGAGAAAGAAACAGTTAATGGTGAGTAATCAGAATTTTGTTCCTGTTAAGCCAAAACCAAAGCAAGCAAATGGATATTAAAAGGATGTAAGACAGAAACATGATGACACTTTTTTCTCCCCAGAAATTCTACTAATATCTTTTCCTCTGCATTGAAATTATTTCTTTTTGCTAGCATAATATAAGCCACCTCTGTTACGGCAAATTCTATCTAAATACCTCCAGCACTTCATCCCTATTCTTCCTTGGCTTATTGTCTGACCTATTTTATTCTTTTTTCCAAAATTGTGGAATAAGGAAAATATATTGATAAAGAAAGATAAAGTGTGGAGAAAAAGGGAAACTCAAGGCTACAGGGATGGGAGAAGACTGAGAAGAAAAACAGAATAGAATGGTATGAGAGGAATGGAATAGAGGAGTAGGAGAGGAAGAAGGGAGAGGACACAGAACTTGGAAAAGGCGAACAGAAAAAACAGAGCTTGGTGTTACTGCCTCTAGTGTTGCACAACTACCACAAACTAGGTTTCCCTGGCTGACTACACTGAGCTAACAGCTGCTTCATGTTGCTCGGTTGAGAGAAAGTAGCCAAAGCTCACAGATGAACTGAGAATTTCAGAGAAAGAACAGATGAGAAAAACATGGACACAGATAAAAGCAGGTAAAAAGCAGATACACAAGAAAAAAAATGTGCAGAAGTTGCTCATTTTATATTAAGTATTCCTAAAATTGGGTGCTTGTGTTAATTAGTACCTCAGGAATATGGAGTTCCTTTAACTGGTCTTCAGTAATTTCACTGAGCTGTCGAAATGTCATTGTAAAATCAGCCTTTGTATCTTCCATAAGCTAGTGAAAAAAGATACTTCTATCACAGTTTTGAAAGAAGAGGGTATTGGTCCAACAAAAATTAGCAAAGCAAACTTACTTTTAGGAGGAAAGCAATCAAATAGTTATCATCCTCATTCTCCCCAAGAAGACCCAATTTTCTTTTGAATAGTTCTGTGAAACTGAAAATAGTAACAAAGTAAGGAAATTGTCACATAACATAATTTATAGTATTGTGACTACGAGGTTCTGGAACTGCATACCAGATGTAGTAAAGCTCACCATATCCCTCCAAAATCTGGGAAGCTCTGCAAAAACAAAAGAAATGTCAAATTCTATGGAACTACAACACTACTGTGGGTACAATCCTACCGTACACTGAACAAGGAAAACTTCTTCTGTCTGATATCTCACAAACATTGATATTCTGAATCAGCTAGGATCTGTAGCGGGGAAAATGTTTTAACAGACTTCAAATACATAAATAGCTGCTGCAAAGAAGAAAAATACAATGTTCTTCCTTTTCAGTAAGAAGTCATGAGTTTAAACCACAGAAAGGAAGATTCATATTAGGAATCTTCAAAATAGGATATTAAAATACTACCTTACTACTTCAGGAGGATGTATGGTTTTCATAAGTAAACATCTCAAAGAACAAGCTAGACAAACTTAGAATAGAAAACTACAGGCAAAGGTCCTACCTTTGAGGAGAATGCACCATACAGCATCTAGGACCACCTTCCAGTCATATTTTCACAGAATCACAGAATCACTAAGGTTGGAAAGGACCTTCAAGATCATCAAGTCCAACCATTAATCCAGCAGCACCATGTCCCCTAAACCATGTCCTGAAGTGCCACATTCACACGTTTTTTGAACACTTCCAGAGATGGCGACTCCACCACCTCCCTGGGCAGCCTGTTCCAATGCCTGACCACCCTCTCAGTGAAGAAATTTTTCCTAATATCCAATCTAAACCTCCCCTGGCACAACTTGAGGCCATTTCCTCTCGTCCTATCGCTGGTTACTTGGGAGAAGAGGCCAACACCCTCGTCGCCACAACCCCCTTTCAGGTAGTTGTAGAGAGCGATAAGGTCTCCCCTCAGCATCCTCTTCTCCAAACTAAACAACCCCAGTTCCCTCAGCCGCTCCCCATAAGACTTGTGCTCCAGACCCCTCACCAGCTTCACTGCCCTTCTCTGGACACACTCCAGCACCTCAGCATCCTTCTTGTAGTGAGGGGCCCAAAACTGAACACAGGATTCAAGGTGCAGCCTCACCAGTGCCAAGTACAGGGGCACGATCACTTCCCTAAGTGATTTTTGCTAAGTGATAAATTTTGCTATTATTTATGACCAATGAAAATCTTTCTTCCGTCCCTCCACCTTATTCTGGCCAGTAATCAATTGAGATCAATTTCCACTTAGAAAAAAAAGATTTTAAAAGCTAATCCCTTTCTTTCCTATGCATATGGTGATTAGAGGGTCTCCCATCTCACTAGTTCTTTTAAGTGTTAAGATAGTTTAAGGATTACTTACAGCTGCTTTTGCCTGGGATCCAATAAAGGTTTTAAAGCTTGTAACAGCTTGCTCAGATTAAACAGCCCAACATTTGCCTGATTTCCTATTTTATACCTCCTTTCATCATCAGATGTGTTTGGAACAAAATCTGTTTCAAACAAAACATTACTTTTCCACAACAGAGTAATTACAATAAATAATCAATGTCAAAATATTGAACTGCATTCATTTTTATACTTGCACAGCAAACTAATAAAAGCCCTAAAGTTTCTAAATATTTAAAATCAGATCACAAGGATACTTATTTACAGTGAATTAACTCAAGATCTATTATTTGCAAATCTAAGTAATATATCTTTCACAGATGAGTTCCCATATGTCATAAGTGACATTTTCCTCCTTGAAGATACAAAATAAATTCAGATGTTTAAACAGAAAAAGACCACTTTTACGCTAAAACCAATGTCTTATTCAATGTTTTTACTACATATAGCACTACTATTTAGCACACAGACTAAGCAAACAACTACAACCAGATTCAGGATTTATTTCAGTTGTACAAGCAAGCCTTATGTATTCACATAAAAGTCAGGGCTAACATGTTCCAGTATGCAAATCCATTATTTGGAGATAATAAATATCTGCTATGCAAATTACAGGTAAAATGTATGCACATCTACAGCACCAGCCTCTGAATGGATGCAGTATGAACCCCTTGCTCAGGTGAAATGCAGATAAGCTGATCAATGCACACAGCATTGCCTGAGTCCTCGGAGGACATTTGTTACAAACGGAGCATTAAGGAGGGGACTTGTGACACATCTGTCAGATCTGGTGATTGGTTCAAATCTGAATTTTAACTCTGAAGCATTTCATCTGGTTCTAGGGTGTACTCACTCTGGCTGTGACGGAGTTAATTTTCTTCATAGCAGCCCGCATGATGTTGTGTTTCAGGCTGACAGTGTTGGTAACACACCAATGTTTTAGCTATTGCTAAGCAATGCTTGCACAGCATCAAGGCCTTCTCTGTTCTCACTCTGCAACCCCAGCAGGTTTGGGCAATGGGATAGGAGAGGACACGGCTGGGACAGCTGACACTGACCCCAACTGACTAGAGGGGTGTTCCATACTATATAGCGTCATACTCAGCAATAGAAACTGGGGGTAGTTTTTCCAAGGCAGTTGTTGCTTGGGGACTGACTGGGCATTAGTCTGCTGGTGGAAGGTGGTGAGTGATTGCCTTTGCATCACTGGTTGGTGTCATGTCCCCCCCCATCTTTTTTTTTCCCCCCCCTTCAGTTATTCAACTGTCTTTATCTTGACCCATGGGCTTTTTCTCATCTTTGCTCTTCCAAATCTCTCCTTCAACCCGCAGCAGTGGGGAGTGAATGAGTGGCTGGTGGGTCCTTAATTGCTGGCTGGGGTCAACCCACCATATCGAGAAAGCTCTAAAACCCCAAAAGCCCTGTTTTTTCAATACAACAGAAACAATATGTCATTTATTCTCATGAGATTTCCTTAATTGGAGGCTGCAGTTTCATGAAAACAGATAGCGAGATAACCACTGCTGATTCTGAAGCTGACTCAGACACAACCTCCAAACAACAATCTAATAATACGCATTTATGTACATTCTGGACCTATATCTATCAATCCCAGACTGACTGAGTTCATACCTTCAAAGAAAGGGTAGGTTTGATTTGTTTTCTTCCAACGTATAATTAGCTGCTCTGACTATAAAGCTAGAGCATGATGCATACAAAGTTACTGTATATCACTTTTGCTTTTGGCTGCTTACAGCAATATGCAATTTTTAGTTTTCTAGGTTTCTGTTGTAGCATCTATTCAACTGATGAAGTTCAACTGGGTTTAATAGCAGTATTTCATTAAGATGACTTGTAGTACGTGAAATGCAATCTGTATAGTGTATCATAAAACTGCCCTCTGATAAAATCTTTTTCCCTAAAACTCTTCAATCAATACACATACTTGGGATTTTTCTGTTAGTAATGTTAGGAGTTCCCATGCACACAGAAATTACATATAAATATTAACTTAATATAAATAAGTAAAAAATTGTATTTAAAAACAGGTGCTACACTCACTTGGATCATAGGAGTCCATAAATCCAAATGGACCATAATCTATTGTTATGGATAATAAACTGAAGTTATCTGTATTGCACACACCTACAATTAAACAGCAGGGAGAAACAAAAGTAAAAATTTCACCTGAACTCTGTAGTGTCTCGAAAATTTGCTGTGAAATAGATCCACTGAATCTAGAGAACTTTGTAGCAGTTGCCTTTTAGAAATCAGGCTCTGGAAAATAAACTTGTCTCTCTCATTCTTGACCTGGCATGCATTTTAAGTATGAAAATGAGAAACTGTTTGCTACGTTATCTTGCATCTGGTTTCTATACCTAGGTGGCACTGTTTCCTTTTCCTTTCAGTGCTACACGGCATTGAAAGAAACAACATCCTGCAAATTCGTCATTAGCTGCTGCTTTGCAAGGTGACTGGCTGCTGTATTAGCAAGACAATGCTATTTTATTTTTCATAACATAAATCTGAAACAAATGTGAACAGCACTCTATCCTATACACTATAAGAGGTCAGGTTTTCATGTAGATGCATCAAATACAGAGCAATTAAACTTATATACGACATCTACACATGGTCTTTGTCCATCAGACTACCACAACAATTCTGAGAATTCTTGCTCCCATATTCTTGCTTCCGTTAGATACAGTCATGCTTTGAAAGATCAGACAGTGCTCCTAACTCTGTTACGAAAACACTTGTATATTAATGCATAACAGATACTGCTGTAGGCAAAGAACATCAGAAAAACTGAAAAATCTTATTCTGACAAATAAAAGCCATCTTTAAGTATATGGCTATAAAGAGTCACTCCTGTAAAGCCAATGCCATCTACTGCAGCTTACCATGTGCAAACCCCACAGACATCCACAATGCAATCAGATTTGCAGTCTCTGATACGACTGTAGAGAAAAACTCCTAAAATCAAATACAAATTTTACTTCAAGTTCTCTGAATCAAAAATATGGAATACAAGAAATAACATAAACATTTTATTCACTTTAAAAATATGCCATACATTCTATTTTTAAATTTATATCTCTGTCTGTCAGGAATTTTCATTCACATTCTAAATGATGTGACTACATAATAATCTTATCCAGCAAAGACTATAGTTAAATAAGTACATACGGATGCCCTAAAAGAGATCTAAAAGTCAAAAAAAGAAACAAAGACACTATGTATACGTGTATATATACTAGTATATACTATACATACTGCATTTATACTAGAAAAAGTATAATTCATCACTTCATGACCACTGCTTATTTAAAATCTGAGCAGTAAGAGAACAAAAGATAACAGAAAGTGGAAGCTTACTAATAAACATTTCCATAATGAAAAGTAGTGAAGAATGTTCATATTTGACTTTGAGAAAAAAAAAAAATTCAAGAAGCAAGTTTTTACTGAAAAGAATTAACAAACTTTTTCTAATAAAACCTGGAAGCTTACTTCAAATTTTAAAATCTTTTAAAACTTGAAACTTTGAAAAGCTTCATATAATTTTTGTTCACATGCTTGTGGAAAATAAAAATAACTTTTTTAAAAGACTTACCAGATATCTATTTGAATCATTCATGGCTATTGATGGAAAATGTTCCTGGATGATAAAGTCTAGCAATCTTCTGTAACAGGAGAGGCAGAATTCTTTAAACAAAACTGGTACTTCTAGAACTGATCATTCAAAATTCTATTTTCAAACAGCTAACTGCTCATCTACAGCTTGCTGCAACCAGTTATTAGAAAACTCAATCTATTTACTCCAACGAGTCTTGGATTAAGCCCTTCCAAATGCTTAGGCATAACACCTAAGGTTCCAGTCATAAATACGACTGGAGACTGCCACGTAGAGTTAGAATTATTTCTGTGTTTTAAACTTCCAGAGCACACCAGGATCTGGTTTTGCATGCAGTAATATCAATTTTTGGGGGAAAAAAAAGTTCATATATCCAAAAAAAAAGTACATGATTACAATTCTACATCAGAATTCTCACAAAGAAAATTTTATGGCTGAATTCTTACAAAGTAGGGTTACTTGCCACAGTAACTGACCATTCCCCAAAAATGATGCTGTATAGAACTACAAGACAAGCTCAGGAAAGTGGGATACATGCATTAAAAATTGCAATGCCTGTCAGATGCATATCTTTGCAGATCTAAAGCTTTATAGTAGAGCAGCTGGCATTTCATACATTTAGGAGCTCCGTGTAGGACCCTCTTGTGGTCAGAGCCAGCCAGGGCCACTGGCACAGGAAGCTGTAAGCACCTACACGTGGGGTAGGCAGCCTGGGCCAGGGTTAGACCTGGGCAAGGGTTGGTGAGCTGTGCACACAAATATCTAGATTTTTACCTTCTGGTAAAAATCAGGTTGTTGGAGCAAATCACTGAACTCTCCTCAAACTGTGATGATTTTATCAGAGTACCTAGTAACCTGACCTTTAGAAGGGTGTCCAACCTATTGCCTCTGAATTTTAGCTGGTTGCTCCATGACAACTTCTTTCAGGGGGATCTTCTCGAGGAGGAAGCACAGTCACTCACGCTAGCCTTGGCCTGCTCTTGGCTATTCTTTCTGTGGCTCCCTCCAAAACAGGCAGGAAGGAGTCGTCTATTTTGCGTGAGTACAAGTGATCTTTACATGCTCCTTAAATTCAATGGGTCACAAATACTTTAACCAAAAAAAACCCAAAGCAAACTTCAAATCGGTTCCTTAATTCACTCTTTCAGTTTTAGAGCTAAAATCTGCTGTGAGATTTTTTTTTTTAAAAAAAGGAAAGACAGCATAGAGTGATGCGGGAAGTTAAATGGAATTATCGGTTACTGCAATGTACAACTGCTACTATGGGCTCTTGTTCGTTTTTCAGCACCCCAGAACAACTTCTATTGCTCCTGAGGAGAAATTAAGCAACTTTTAAATATTTACGGTAGCTCTAAAAATTTGTCATGCTAACTGCTTGACACACAAATTAATATTGCTAAGAAGCTTAAAAAACATGCAATAATTTCTTACCTAGTACATTTCTCTGGTTCTGAATGTTTCTGGAGAACATACTTTATACAACATACTTATCCTAGTGATTTATTTCATATTTCTGTTAGCTTCATAGACAACTATGAGAAATGTAGGAACTTACACTTTAAATTTACGAATCTTTCCAAAACAAACAACTGTTCCCTAGTGCTCCGTTACCAGAACTATTTCAGCTATAAAACCTTTCTGATTTTGTAATATCCAGGCTTTCAAAAACATCTAAGGGATTTTGCCCTTATGAGGCAAGACCTTTTGTATGCTTGTATAAAAATAGCAGGTTATCGTTCTAAATTAGGCAACCTTCCTTTTTAAGTAATATATGTCTAAATTCCAACTGTACACATGCATTAAAATATATATTTGATTGTTAAGAAAATACAGTTATGATGTTATAATATAGCTATTAATAAGATTAATATAGTTATGATGAAGATTAAATTCAAACCTTTGTAAGTCCAGTTCCCCAGAATGAGCTAAGATTTCTAAGGATCCTATACGGAACCATGATTTGGCAAGACGTAGCACTATTGCACCTTAAATATAGACACGTGTTTAAATGTAAACAGAGTATCAGCAAAATGAAGTAGTTCCATAACAAAAGCCTTCATGTGTTGTTTCTATAGATGCAGAATTTATATATACATAGTTAAACTGGTATTTTTGTAATTATGCTCAATGCATAACAGATGAACATATATAATATTACTTTACTACACATACATTTTAATGATAAAGCTTAATTTGTTATACCAGCAAATACAGGCAAAATTCCAGTACTGCATTAATACTAGAATTACTCCAGAGATGCTAGCAACAAAGAAAGAAAGAACACAAATAGATTTTTCCCCACATTGTGCCATCCCACTCTTTTTCAGAGCAGGTGTAGATGATGTAGCAATGGCACAGCCACAGCAGTGTTCCCACTGTCCTAGTATTGCTATCGGAACAATGGAAAATTTCCCTAGTTTTCAGTATCATTTTTGTAATGGCAAGCAAAAATAAAAACCATACCCCTACAACACATATGCCAAAAATCATAGTAGACCTGTTCACAGAGCTTCATTTCTTTAACTAAGGTATGTTTCAGACTGATTTTCTCAGAAAAGGTTTTGTATCTTAATAAATGAAATGAAGCTAATTTAGTACTTTTTATTACACATATATGACATACAAAAATTCATTTTGCAATGGAGAATTAAGTTACAGTGTTGCAACATATTAACTTGAAATGTGTTCATTACCTCTTTCTTTCTTAATATTTCCATTGTAAAACTGGTCTCTCCACACATCATCTTCACTTACAACTAAGCTGTAACAAACAAGAAATGAACATTAAAAAGTTATCTCAGGAAAAATAATTTACAATGACGACGAAGTCGTATTTTATATAACTTTATACCTTTCATAAAAAGGAAGATCTTTTTGCTGGCATAGCTTTGTATTTACAAATGACACAAGCAAACAATAAGCCAAGGCTTATCAAGGTTCATTAGCAAGATGCATTTGTTTTGTATTTATACAGAGTTGTCCAATCTCCATTACTTACACTGTTCTTGGGGAGGGGGTTGCATTCAAAAAAGTACTGCATTAATTTGGAATCTTAGTGACTGATTAGTGTGATGATAATTTTAAATAAGTCACAATTTCCCCAAGGATAACAGTGAAATTAGGACAGAGAAATTAGAAACCAAATTGTTGCATCAGATGGAGGTTGCCCTTTACGTGAGCCAAAACTGGTGTCTCAGGAACTTTGGGGACAGATCTGGGACCCCCAGCAATCAGAAACTCTTCAAATAGTATCAACACACACAAAAGGCCTAATATTGATGTACTTTATGATTACCCCTTTCTTCTTCACTGCTACTTGTACTTGGATTTTAAAAAAAAATCTCTCCCTTTCATTTGCCTTAAAATTCTGCACATCCTAAAAATTTTCATGTTTATCCAAATGTTGAGATTTGTGAGTGCTTGGAACAACTTTGCTTGCTCTAAAGTATTTCACAATTTACATTCACTTTATGAATTAAAATATGTAATTTCACTGTATTTTCTGTTATATCAGGAAAAGTAAAATGGAATCAATCCTCACAAACTATGCACGGACATCATATTCCCCTAAGGTTAACGTGCAGGAAGTTTTCTCTCCAAAGCAACTGGTATTACACTGACAATCCAGCAGAAGTAATGCTTGGTGCTATCTTCTGAAAGAGGTGTTTGTCCCTGCAGTAGGTACAGAAGAGTTCTTGCTGTTCAAGAGTGTAGCAGCAGGAAAATTTAGCTCATTTTATATAATACTTCTTTATCTTTGCTTGCTGATAACTGGAAAACATGCTTCTATTCAGGACAGACATGGACATGCTGGAGCAGGTCCAGAGAAGGGCCACAAAGATGACCAGAGGAATGGAACACCTCTCCAATGTGGACAGGCTGAGAAAGATGGGGTTGTTCAGCCTGGAGAAGAGAAGGCTCTGGGGAGACCCTACTGCAGCCTTCCAGTACTTCAAGGGGGCTTATAAGAAAGATGGGGACAGACATTTTAGCGGGACCTGTAGCAATAGGGCAAGGGGTAATGGTTTGAAATTAAAAGAGGGTAGATTTCAACTAGGTCTAAGGAAGAAAATTTTCACGATGAGCGTGGTGAAACACTGGCACAGGTTGACCAGAGAGGTGGTAGATGCCCCATCCCTGGAAACATCCAAGACATTCCAGGTCACGTTGGACGGGGCTCTGAGCAACTTGGTCTAGTTGAAGGTGTCCCTACTCATTGCAGGGGGGTTGGACTAGATGACCTTTAAAGGTCCCTTCCAACCCAAATGGTTTTCTATGATGCTATGATTCAAAACAGTTAGGTAGCATGCTATTTGAAATTTAATGCAGCTACTTACATAGCTGCTATCTATTAGATAGTTGAAGACTGCACAGAAGACAGAACCAAGCCTCCTTTGGAGGTACACAGAAAAGGACAAGAAGCAAACCTAATACTCCATTCATAAATTTGACTGAAGACAGTCACAGAGTTAAAACAACTCCCAAGTGTTAAATTTTGAGAGTACACTAGATTCTGGTTCTACATACTTTAGCATCAAAATTTTAGAAAGAATTTAGTTGGACCAAAAATGTGGGGTATGCATATAAACATAAATATGTACAAAAAATCATGAAAAGGAATGATTTGTCTGAAGTCTTACACAGTGCAGTTGCTTGCAACAGTAACTGTACCTTTGAAACTAAATTGTTATTATTATATTTGGCATTTTGGAAGGTATCTAATAGCTATGCAAACTGAATGTTCTCTGTTAACTGCAAAGAACAGGCAGTGAAATGTTCCAGAAGGAGGGAAAAAGTATCTAGAAATCAATCTGCTCCCGTTACTGGAGCTGTACTGATAAAAGCAACATTAGGAATTTTTTTTCAAAAAAGACTCTTTTGGAAATAATCATATATGAATGGTATGTCTGTAGGATTAAGTACAAAAAGTGCTGACATAAATGAGATGGAAGAAGAAAATCTTAATCCTGCAAGAAAAACAAACATTTTCAAAATCAGGGAATGAACCCCAGACACTAACAAAATGTTGTGGGCATCAGAACACTAGATGACGAGTCAGAAAAATGCTACTAAATTTTACTGTTTTCAATAGACCTCTGTCAGAAGGGTTGTTTCTCTTTGACTATGTAACTCAGCAGGCTCTCTGTAAAACTCCTGCAGAATAACAGCACTTCTCATTACTGACAAAAAATCAGGGGGCATCAACATTTGGTTAGCTACTAATACAAGTCAATGGACATGCAACACTTAAGAGCCAGATAACCGAGCAACCACATAAAGATACCTACATTCCCACTATAAAAATAGTTTTCAAATGGTTCCTGTAAGTACCATTACTTCAGAGATGGCAGCAGGAGACCAAACGTGCACTCAACCACAGGAACAGAGCACTGAAATTGCTCTTGCACCAGAGAAGCTGGAAGAGCACTCACAGAAGGATGGACGGATTATATCCCTCCCTACCCCTGGCTCTAGTTTAAGGGCTGCACTTTGCAATCCCAAGTGCTGTGCTTGCTGTTTTGCATGAACATCAAGACCTGTGCAAGTAAGGGCCACTCTGAAAACTACACATATTGGCTCACTTTTTTGACCTTATGTATAACACTGCTCACTGGTAGTCCTAGTACATGACTAAAATGGTACCATGGGAAGAAGTGTTCTTTATCTGGCAGTACAGTCATAAACTGTAGCACCCCATTGGGAACACAGTACTTAAAATTAATAGAGCAAACCAACCTGCTGGGTGTTCTGGGATAAGCCGTAAGGCTTTTCCCCACACTTCTGCCAAGACTTGACAAGATGTCTGTAAGTGCATCCCACCAGCCTCAGTACAACAGCTCCCCATTGGGAAGAATATGGATATCAGCTGGGGTTTTTCCAAATGAAGTCTTGCAAACAGTCTGGAGAGTTTGTACAGCAGTTAAAGACAGCCAGGCATTTAACCAATTTGCCAGCAGAGAACTGAAGCACACTATGTACTCAATAGAATCTGTGCACAGTTAAGGAGTAATTTTCATACTGTTTTTTGCACTGAACAATTTGTTGACATGACAGCAAAAAAATTCCTGCTGATATTCAGACAGATTTGAAGTTTTGCATTAATGCCAACAGCAAAGGGTCTCAAAGTGAAGTCAGTGAATAAACGATCAAAAATGTCATTTACAAACACTGCACTTCAACAGAGCAAATGTGTTAGAATTAATGCTAGAGAGATTTGCAGACACTTTGCAAATACAGACACCTAACCATGTGGCAGCTGAGTACAGGCCTTTTCTGCAGAATATTTACTCTCTTTAAAGGCTGAAATGCTGGAGTACAGACATGAGACTACTTGGAACACAAAATGAACTTGACATTTTAAACACGATCATCTGAAAAACTCAGTCTACTTAATTCTGAGAAAATCATCCCAATGAGTGAATGTATTAGTCATCTTTGGTTCAAACAGAATTAGTTTTAAATTACTTTTTTATGAAATTTCCCTTTCTGCTCAAGGGGTGCTTGCACAAATAAGGAATTTGGAGCAATCACCTACATTCAGTACTACCTCCAATATGAACATCTATTAATCTGACAATTTTTCCTACCAATCTTAAAATTTGCAACTAGGTGACTATGACAATACAGAATAGCCACTTTCAACATTTTCCTACTTGACCTGATTCTAGCAAAATTCATCCAAATGCTTAACTTTAGTGTAACAAAAAACTCACTTATTAACCATGTAAAATGTATTAATAGACTCATTGATTATCCACATACACTAAAAGTATTATTATTATTTACAGGGCAGGAATCTAGTCCTGCTGTTTTTGCAAGTCTTTTGGTGAGCAACAAGGGAGAGAACAATTTTATTTTTTTTTAAGAGAAGAAACTCTTGATTGCAGTATCATAAAAGCCGGCAAGGGGAGTTAGTGTCAGATATAATCACTCAATCTAACTTCCACTTTTTACTTTCTTTACAAAATGAACCAGATTTCAAATTAAGGTAATTCAGTTAAGACAGTCTTACAAGTGAAGAACAGCTGTTCACCACAAGACACAGACAGTCCACAGTACCGTATTTAAAAAAAGTAGTACTTTAAAGCATACCAAAGACAAAAGTGAATGGATTAATTGATAGAGGTCATTATTACTGAAAAGTTTTATCAAAAAGATCTACAAAACTGGAGGGATATATTTTGTTCTGATTGCATACATATGAAAAGAAAGATCTATCCTCTTGCAAGCTAACTGTCCTTCTTTATTGCTGCTCAGTGAAACTCAGTCACAAAATTACCAGTAAATTAGGATGCTGTGAAAAAGAAAAGAAAAATACCTAGCAGCTCTGCTTGTAGGAATTCCAAGATAGTACATGGCCTCACTACACAAAAATTCTCGCACAGAAGAGCGAAGCACAGCTCTTCCATCGCCATTCCTATGGAGAACAGACAAATAAGGAATAGGTCATAAAATCAAACCAAATTTCAAAAAGAAAACATCCAGTTTTGGTGTACATGGATTAACGGCAACTCACCTGGAGTATGGGGTCTTTCCTGATCCTTTTAACTGTAATTCCCACCTCTCACCATGCCTGCAAAAATACCATTAACATTTCTAACAGTGCACCTCGGGCTAAATAGATCAGCTAAACAGAATACAGAGTTGAAGCAGTCACTTAAAAAATGTCACACCTGTTTGTATATATTCCGATCAAGTGGGCTCTTCCATCACCCAGCTGACCTGCCCAGCTACCAAACTGACAAAAATGAAAATCAAGTTATTTTCTTCTATCATTTATAGCAGTTATACTTGAAACAGTACAAATTACCCATAGGTTCTCTGTGATCTACACAATCCGATGACACATTTGCTCAGGCTGTCATTAAGATATTGATCCCTAAAGCTGTATTTCCACACTCAACATCAACAATGAATCAGAAAACCACAGAAAAAGAGTAACACCAGCAATCCCCACTTTTTTTATCTACCTTCCAGCTATGACACCAAAGCTACAGCCCTGTCTCTTTTGTATAATGAACCTTTAATCTTACACAGCTTGTAATTTTTTTTTTAATTGGAAATTACAAATCAAATTCTACCATTCTTTTCCATGAATAATCATACCTACTTCAATGAAACTTAACTCTTAGTAACCACAGTATTGCAGTGAGGATCTATCCTTCTTCAGTCCTCTGAGCTGATAATACCTACAATGAATCACAGCGTGTCAGGCTGCAGGTGTGCTAAGCAGACTCCGCAGCTAACCGAAGTTAAAAGATTAATTTGCCTCTGGCATAAACAGAAGCAGACATGGTACCATGAAAGAATATTATAGTTCTCCTCCATTTGCAGCCCTTTATGAAGAACATATCTGCAATCAAAATGTTCATACACTTACAGGCATATACTTAAATAATTACAGGTATTATTATTAATTTCATAATTCACATGAAAAGACCGACATAATTCCACCTGGAAGAATGAGTGCCATAGTTACCTGATGACCCCCATACCTATGGGCCAATGGAACAGACCCAAGTATCACTTTCCCACCACTGACAAACTGAAGAAAATCAGATGTTTCTTTGACAGATATATCAAGATCCAAAATATTTTCAAGAACTTCCTGGAGAAAAAAATAATACAGGTGGTACTTGAATATGATCAAATTTTCAGTGGTAATGACTGTGTTTTCTTTACAGATTTCATTATTAAAAGATATCTCACATGTTTTAAGTGTTCTATTTGTTTAAAGTATAGATTGATAAGATGATTTCACAATAAATAGCATAGGAATATTAAAATATATTTTAGTATGTGTATTTACAATCTCTATTAACTAGAGAGGAACAAAAAAATAATAGCCAACCTTTGAAACAGCTACAAGACGAACTCTAGATTTAAAAGGTGTAGGATAGACAATTGAAAAAATGCAGTTTCTCACATTACGGACATAATTTTCCTGGATCACATCAATTGGAAAAGGATCTGTAAACATGAAACACACACAATATGTTTTGAAAAAAAAATCATATTATTCTTAATATTTTTCCTCTTAAATCCAATCAAAATACTTCAGAAAGAATTAAAACCCGACTCTTTACCACAATGTATATTAAGCTTGCATGAAAAGCAAGCCCAAATAAATTCAGGATTGTAGTATGTGGGGGATTTTTGAAAAGAAGGATTGAATTCTGCAGTTAAAGAAACTTTGTAGGGCATGCTAGTTTTAAGATCTAAAACATATTTCAGCATAGATTCAATAAAGTGTGATTAGAACAGTCTCAGGGTGGTTTTATATTGCGCTCAATTACATGGAACCCTGAAAGATCTTTGCACGAGGTAGAAAAGTTCAGCTACCCTCTCAGCTGAGTGATGTAGTGCAACAGGTTAAGTCACTGTACACCTGTCACTGCGGTATATAGTCCATATGCAGTGATGATCACCAAGTAACCTAAGAAACCAGCTTGAAGTCTTCTCTAGAAAAACAAAGGGTCAGAAGATGCAGTTCTTGCTGTAGCATAACATACGTACTCAAAAGATGGAGCTTCATTCTTCCTTCAGACCTACTCTGCACCCTGATCCACAGTAATGGAGGACAAATATTATTTTAAAACACTGGATTAATGCTGTGTCTTTCAACATCTTTATGGATTTTTGCTTGCAACGGTCTTATGATTCCATATTAATTATCACAGTATCTCAGTCACCATTTTGCAAAAATTGTAAGTTAGTTAGTATCTCTGGAGACTTACTGTTAGCCATGTTTCTCAATACCTCTAATGACAAATCCTGTTACAGCCAGCTGCCACAAGATTTGTCACAAATTATTATTTCTTAACACTCGCAAGTAATTGTATCACCCGAAGAACTTATTTTTGTAATGTTACCATATAAATTATCTTTATTATTACAGGCAATTCCGTGCGCCCGAGAGCTTTATGCACTTCTAATCAGGCGTCAGGTTATCAATTTTGCATTAACACGTAATTGCAACTCACACGTCTCTCCATTATGATAAAATGTTTAAAAAAAAAAAGAAAAAAAAAGCTCCTTATGGTCAATCTAGCTTTAATTTTAAAAGTAGTAAGTATTTGACTATGTATATAAGGTTTTCACTTAGTTATTGCTTTGGCAGCTGCTACAGCCCACCAAGCAAACGCGCCCGGGGGGAGCAGCACAGCGCAGGCCGTACCTCGGAGGCTGTCGGAGGAGAGGGGCCATGCGCAGAGGTCAGTCGCCCCCCGC